AAAAAAAAAAAAAAGAAAAGAAAAGAGGAAGAAATAACGTGTCGTGGATCACGTTCGATCGTGAATTGTACGCTCTGGTGTCCGTGAAAAAAAATTTGTGATACACGTCGCGTCGTTGTTTGCGGCGACTTTCACTTTTCGAAGCGGCCGCCACTGCTATTGTCATTAGTCTCCTCGCGGGAAAGGATGCGACTATGAAGATAGATCTAGCGTAAATTAAACAAGTAAGTTAACAAACCTCGCCTGTTAAGCTTTCTACAGTTGGCGTAACGTCTATCTTCCTCTTTTCCCAATTGACACCCTTCGATTTCTCAATTAATGTTAGAATCTTAATACGACGTGTCGAAAATTGGTATCTGCAATTTCTTAAATAACGGTGAAAGGCTGAATTTTTGTAATCTGAGTTGGTAAACATGCTCAATTCTTTATATTATTTTAGGTTTGTTACTACAAAAGAAAGAAAGATTCGTTTTCCATCAAGTGTCAAATTTTCGTAAGTTTCACGCAATGTTGGATATATTTTTACTTGCGTATTATCAAAACATATGACTGGAATGAGTTTCATAGTGATGTTAGACTATTTTTTTACTACAGACCACACATTGTATATGTGTAATACACTGCACTGGAAAAATAAAAATTAAAAGTTTTTAAACATAGGGTTAATGAAAATAAATACATTTTTCAGACATAGTTATTATAATATTCCACTGAACATAATCCAAACACGTATTGTTGAACGAACATATATTATTAAATATGTTTTTAGGAATATTTTGAATGCAACAGCGTTCTACACTTCGCGCATGTATGTGTAAGTGAAATTACTTCAGTTAATATTGATGTGATTTGCAATTCATTAAAAAATGATGCCTATGTTCCTTTTTTTTATATAATTATTATATCAAATAATACATAAATTATATAAAATTATATATTGTTTTAATTTATATATAAATTATATAAAATTATATATTATTTTAATTTATATATAAATTATATAAAATTATATATTATTTGATATAATTATTGTATCAAACTTTTTTATATAATTGTATAATTACTATATCGAATTTTTTATATAATTATTACATCAAATTTTCAACAAATAAAACCACACTGTCTGAGCAAAAAGCCAATCGCATATTACCAATAATGAATACAGAACGATTAAAGTACTTGAAATAAACGTTACATCAGACCAAACGTAGTGTGTCATTCTAAATATTTCCAATGAAAACAAATAAAACTTTAACTATGCTCCGTCTCGAAAATTGAAGTGCAATTTCCATCGTGCACACAGTGAAAAGCACATAACTGAATCAATAACGATAATTTAAATTGACTTACACCTATGATTCTCAGCCCCTCGATCATTACTATGAATTTTGATAATACATTTGATGATATTTTGAAAAAAACATTTGTCCAATCTCGTATTTACCTGTGTACATAAACTAAAGAATTAATTATTATTATTATTATTTTTTTGTTGTTGTTGTTATAATTATATTTGTAAAAAGTTTTTATTATTTAAGATTTTTAATTATAACAGAATTTTTACATGTAATTCTTATTTTATTTATAATTATACATAGACATAGATTAGATGATTATTTTTCATATTTTTAATATTCATAGTATGTATTTTAAGATCGTTGTTATTAATTAGAATAAATTATGAATTTGGTCGTTAAAAAATAAAATTTTCAAATTTAATATTTAAATTTATTTTAAATGGTTGAATAAATTTGTACAATTCACTTAATAATAGTTATTTTGTTCGATTCTATTATTTTTTAGGAAATTTAATATATACAATTATAATTATTTTTTTTCAATTTTAATTGATTGAATTGAAGAATAATTTTTTTAAATTTTAGTTTAAATTATTCAAATGGATTGATGCACGTGTGCATATAAACTGATCTTGGAAATGAAACTTGATAATCTCCAATTTTGGAAATTATGCACGTCTGAAGTATGTTCATATCGTAAAGTTAACAGACACCATTTGTCTTAACAAATACGCGTGAAGTAAAATTCAATTCCAAAAGCTCGATATTGAAATACATCGAACAACACATCTTTGATATCCAAAATCTTTATGACATTTTATAATCTTTATGATACATTTTATCGCGATAAACATCAACGATAGCCTATATTTATAACAATGTTATAAAAAGCGATGTGTCATTCGTTTACTCGTATGCAGTACGATAATTAAGTATTGAATAAATTCGGATGTATTTGACGCAGGTTATCGAACAGGGGAGGAAATTCTCGCTTCATTATGAATTTATTCCGAGACCAGTTTTCGATCATCATCTTCCTTTTACTTTTCGCTGGATATGACGCAGCAAGTAACGTCGATGAAGGTAATGAAAATTTAAAAAGTAATAATTTTAAGGAAAGCTGCACCTCGTACAATGTACATGTTACTATACAATTCGGTATACTTTTAACATGCATTATACTTCAATATTGTACCTTAATGTACTTTAATATTATAATGTAAACTCCACATTTTTAACTGGAGGATAAATACTTTGGAGACAAATTTGTAAATCCTTCTAAGACACGATAATAATCTTGTTCTTGGACGCAATATTAATTTATTATTAATATTAAATGTTAATATAATAATATTATTATTATTAATATTAAATGTTGATATAATATTATTATTATTATTAATATTAAATGTTAATATAATAATATCATTATTATTAATATTAAATGTTAATATAATATTATTATTATTAATATTAATATTATAATTGTTATTATTATTAATATTATTATTATTAATATTAATATCATTGTTATTATTATTAATATTATTTTTATTAACATTAAATGTTAATATGTCAATATTAATAACAACAATAAATATTAAACATTCGCTTATTGTTAATATTCGCCAATTTCTATCTACCGGTTGACTCATTATTCGTTTCCTTCGCATCGTTTATTGCAATAAATGCAATTTCTTTTATTTCCTGCACACACCGCAGTTCCACTAATAAATAATAAAAAATATTATATTATAATTATATATTAAATAAAAAATATTATATTATATTAATATATTATATATGTCTACTAATAAATAATAATAATATATTAATATAAAAACATGATAATATTATTATTAATTATGATAAATTCATCGCGTAGAAGCGTACGAGGCGAATGAACATGATGTTCTCGACTACCGACTGCCGAAAACCGTCGTTCCAACCAACTACGAGATCATACTTACTCCAGAATTGCAAAACGACTTCACGTTCAAGGGAATCGTGCACATTAGCGCGTATTTGCGAAACTCGACGAACACCGTAACGCTTCACCATGGACGAATGGACATAACTTTAGTGACGGTGATGGTCGGCGCCCAGAACGAAAAAATCAACAACACCACGTATGACAATAAAACGGAGAAATACGAAATTAGGCTGGACAAGGTTCTTAAAGCTGGGACAAACATTATGATCAATTTCGAGTACGTCGGTAAACTTAGGGACGACATGATTGGATTCTACAGAAGCTCCTACGTCGATGCCAAAGGACAAATTCGGTAAAATTTTGCCATCTTTTTAAACAAAATTTTTTAACTTGAAATTTTTAAATTTACCTTTCGAATTTTTAAATTTATGAATTTATCTTTGTTATTTATTTCAGCGTCTTGTTTGTTTCACCTCTTGTCCATTAAAAGTTCTTATTCAATTGTTTAACAAAGTTGGGAAATTCCAAAAATTACGAAACTCATTAATATTAGAATAATATTAATATTAAATTATAATAATACTCGTTAATATTAAAATAATATTAATATTAAATGAATTAATATGAAAGTTTGTCTATGATAAATTATTATCGTAGATTTATGATAGGTGTAAGTTACGATACTTACATACAATGTTTCATAATTCTTTGAATTTTCGAATTTTCCAACTTGTAAATTGAACGTAATTTTTACTTCATTAACTATGACACAGATAAGAAATAAATTCGTAATATGCATACGTTACACGAAGTTTCATAATTCTTTTCTCGAATTTCCCTAATTTTCCAACTGGTAATTTTTCTATTAACACTTGCAATTTCGAATATCTAGAATGGATTTCAACTCGTTGCACTCGAATTTTTTTCTCGACTGTAGTTTACAGGAACTTGGATAATGTCTGCGAGAATCTGAATTTGATGAAAACGCGATGCTATTTTTTGTTTTAGAGATATTATATATAGCTTTCTGATGTTGTATGTTTTTTCAAATGAATCAGGTGGCTCGCAGCCACACAATTTCAAACAACGCACGCGAGACACGCTTTTCCCTGCTTCGACGAGCCAAGCTTCAAGGCAACATACGACATCAGAATTCTGAGGCCAGCCGAATATTCTTGCTTGAGCAATATGCCGCTAAACAGGAGCATACCGCTGTAAGTATTTCACAGAATTTGCAACATTGAAATAACTTCTTCAGTTACATTCCCATCTATAAGTTCACAAGTTTAATTTACGATTTACTTTTTTTCATCTAATTTGAAAGAAAATTTCGAGAAGAAGGATTTTGATTTATTCAGATCTCATTGCAATTTCATATTAATTTTACACCGAAAGTGCAATAATTCACTGCCGTGAATATATTAATATAATTAATTATATAAATTTATAACACATTTCAAACATCCATTTTGTATTGATTATGAGTAAGTTCTTGTTGAGATCACGAGTGAGTTATGTTAAAATGTAAAATTTAAATTATTCAACTTTACTTTGTATAATCATAGAAACGAAATCAATTAATAAAATAATTAAATTATTATAATAAATTTTGGCAATTATGATAAATTTTATTAAATTATGATAATTTAATAAAATAATAAAATTGTTATAATAAATTTTGATAATTATGGTAATTTTTATTAAACTGTTAAAATTTAATAAAATAATTAATTTGTTATAATAAATTTTGATAATTATGATACATTTTATTAAATTATGATAACTTTTATAATTATGATAAATTTTATTAAAATATGATAATTTAATTTTATTAAATTATGATTATTTTATAATAATTTATATTTTATATTTTATATTTATAATAAATTTATATTTTATTATAATTTATATTTTATATTTATAATAAATTTATATTTTATTATAATTTATATTTTATATTTATAATAAATTTATATTTTATTATAATTTATATTTTATATTTATAATAAATTTATATTTTATTATAATTTATATTTTATATTTATAATAAATTTATATTTTATTATAATTTATATTTTATATTTATAATAAATTTTGATAATTGTGATAAATTTTATTAAATTATGATAATTTTTGTAATTATGATAAATTTTATTAAATTATGATAATTTAATAAAATAATTAAATTACTATAATAAATTTTAATAATAATAATTATTTAATAAAATAATTAAATTATTATAACAAATTTTGATAATTATTATAATTATGAATTTAATTACGAATTATAAATTTTATTAAATTACGATAATTTAATAAAATAATTGAATCATTATAATAAATTTTGATAATTGTGATAAATTTTTATATTTGATAAACTATGATAATTTAATAAAATAATTAAATTGTTATAATAAATCTCGATAGTCACGATAATTTCTATGATCATAATAAATTTTATTCAATCATGATAATTTACTAAAATAAAGTTTCGCATCAAACGATGACGATGATTACTTATGGATGTATACCGTGTCACAATATACCCAAGGATAATCCAATCAACGATTACAGCGAGGACAAATACTGGGACGAGTTCGAGCGCAGCATCCCCATGTCGACCTATCTGGTTGCTTTCATCATCTCGGACTTCAGTCACAAGAAAGTGGACGATTTCAAAGTTTGGGCCAAGCCGAACGCTGTCGATCAGACGACATACGCTTTGAACGTCGGCAGGAAGGGCCTCGATTACCTCTCCAAGCGTTTCAAACAAAGTTATCAATTGCCCAAGATGGACATGGTGGCTGTGCCCGATTTCTCAGCCGGCGCGATGGAGAACTGGGGTTTGGTCACCTATCGCGAGTCCAGGCTGTTGCACGACGAGAACTCGTCGTCCGACGCCGCGAAACAAAGCATCGCCTCCGTCATTATTCACGAGCTGACGCACATGTGGTTCGGGAACATGATCACGCCAGAATGGTGGGGCTATCTGTGGTTGAGCGAGGGATTTGCAAGGTATTTCCAATACTTTGCCACTGCTCAGGTAATTGCCAACAGTTTCCTCTTCAATGACAATGGTCGTGGAATTTCGAACACGGTAGAAATCCAGTTAGCAAGTGTTAGCATTGAATAGTTTCTTCTAATTTTAATTTTGAAACTATTGAGAAGAATCGTTCTAATTCTAATTCTGAAATATATCGAGGAATTAAAGATTCGTGTTTTCGACGCACGTGTTCTTTTTTTATGTCAACGGGTGGACGAGTTTCAGTGCGACAGAGATTTTGCTGGCTTGGCGAAGCAAAGTCTCTGTTTCATTACGTGAGATTTTTAAATATTTACGACGATCTCTTGAATCTTGCCTCGTTTTTCTTTTTTTTTTTCTTTTTTTTTTGTACTATTTTACAATCAAATCTTGAAAATCATTATTTTTAATTTTATTCTTATCTATATTTATTATTTCATATTAAGTTTATTTTATTGTTATTTTCTTTATATATTATTACTTTTAATTTCATTCTCATTTTTATTTATTATTATATTTTATATATTATTATTTTTAATTTTATTCTTATTTATATTTATTATTGTTCCATATTAATTTTACTTTATTATTATTTTCTTTATATATTATTACTTTTAATTTTATTCTCATTTTTATTTATTATTATATTTTATATATCATTATTTTTAATTTTATTTTTATTTATATTTATTATTGTTCCATATTAATTTTATTTTGTTATTATTTTTTTTATATATTATTACTTTTAATTATATTCTTATTTTTATTTATTATTATATTTTATATATCATTATTTTTAATTTTATTCTTATTTATATTTATTATTGTTTCACATTAATTTTATTTATTATTATCTTTATTTTATCATTACTTTTTTCATATATCATTATTTTTAATTTCATTCTTATTTTTATTTATTGTTTACAAATTACAATGCATGTACAATTGTATCGTTTACAAATAACAAATCTTGAATTTTCGTTCAAAATTCAATAAAGAAGATCGTACGACAAATTTTAAAGAATTGTCGCAAAGAGAAGACTTCGAACTTCAAAGCAACTGTAGTCTCAGTCAAAATTCAGAAAAAAATTCCTCAGTGATTCTAGAGATGATTTCAGTGATTTAATTCTTGCATTTTTCAAGGATAAAGTATCCTTACTCTACCATCTGTTGCACGCGGAACCGTTTCCAAAGGAAAAGAACGAATTAAAAATTGTTGAATGAAACTTTAAAACGAGACCGAATCGATTGTTTACATAGTTTTCTTTTACAAAGTTACAATGGTTTAAAGTATCAACAATTTTTCATCGAAGTGCAAACGCCTTCGTCCATCTCTGTATTTATTGAGAGAGATTATAGTCACTTCCTTTCGTTTTCGAGCTGTTCAATTTCTTGGTCGATTCTTTGGCCAGCTTGTAACGATCGATTTTGTAGATCGAGACAACATGGAACATGGAGGACCAATTCCTCGTCGAGCAACATCAGACAGCTCTCGCGGCCGATGGTGTCGAGTCATCTCTGCCAATGACTCGAACTGTCGTCAATTCATCGCAAATTGGCGGTGTCGGGGATACTATTACTTATAATAAAGGTGCTAGTATCTTACGAATGATAAATCTTGTTTATGGAGCCAACGTGTTTGATGCCACGCTACAAAACTACCTGGCAAAGTAAGGAGTTGTAAATTAAAGAAACTTTGTTAATTTTAATAATATTAACAGCAATAATTAAAATTAATAATAATAATAACTACTTGCTTGATTATCGACAAAAAAATGAAGTTTTCATTTTCATTACATACTGTTATGTTACTTAACACAATTTATTTTTATTATATTATTTATTATTCTTATTCTATTATTTATTACTTCATTTTATTATTTTTATTATTTATTATATTATTTATTATTCTTACATTATTATTTATTACTTTATTTTATTATTTTTATTATTTATTATATTATTTATTATTTTTACATTATTCTTTATTACTTTATTTTATTATTTCTATTATTTATTATATTATTTACTATTCTTACATTATTATTTATTACTTTATTTTATTATTTTTATTATTTATTATTTTATTTATTATTTATTTTTATTAATATGTTACTTACTACAAATCATTTCTATCACGTTATTATTTTTGATCAAAGAACTCGTTACTGGAATTCTATATCTCTCGACTATAATAATACTTATTATTTTTCAAAGTGCCACCAATTTTATTTAAAAGCTTAAGATTAATCGAATCACAATTAACCCGCAAACCTTCTGATCAAAAAAAAGATCCAGATCAACAGATATTAAAATCTCCATTGCAAACAGCAATAAAATCGAACAACATTGAAAGTATGATCGTATTATCACATCTTCGCATTTATTGGATTGCAGCAACGCAGAAGAAAAAGTGGCGAGGCCGATAAACTTCTGGAAGGAATTGGAGAACGAGTGCAAACGTAAGAACCAGCAGCTTTGCACGCAGGTCGGAGAAATCATGGCCACGTGGACGGAGCAAGCCGGATTTCCGGTGGTGAGCGTCACCATCGATAATGGCAAGGTGCTCTTAGAACAGCAACGTTTCCTCCTGAGGAATTTGAAATCCACGCCCACCAATCTAACATGGTGGTTACCCATCACTTGGACCACGCAACGAAATCCAAATTTCAATCAATTGAACGTCAGCTGGATAAATGGCCAACGCAACTCGTCGATAAATATCGATAAAACTCCGGGCTGGGTGATATTCAACGTTCAGTCGGCCGGTGAGTATCGTTTATTGGAACTTTACAATTGTTCAAATTTATAATAAATTAATGATATTTAAAATATTTAAAATATTTAATATTTAAAATATTTAAAATATTTAATATTTAAAATATTTAATATTTAATATATTTAGAATATTTAAAATATTTAATATTTAAAATATTTAATATTTAATATATTTAGAATATTTAAAATTTAAAATATTTAAAATACTTAATATTTAAAGTATTTAATATTTAAAATATTTAATATTTAAAGAATTTAATATTTAAAATATTTAATATTTAAAGTATTTAATATTTAAAATATTTAAAATATTTAAAATGTTAATATTTAGAATATTTAAAATATTTAAAATATTAGTATTTAAAATTTAAAATATTTAAAATATTAGTATTTAAAATTTAAAATATTTAAAATATTAGTATTTGAAATTTAAAATATTTAAAATATTAGTATTTGAAATTTAAAATATTTAAAATATTAGTATTTAAAATTTAAAATATTTAAAATATTAGTATCTAAAATTTGAAATTTAAAATATTTAAATTTATAAAAATCTTGGTACACAGAGCCCTGAACTCGTTGACTCAAGATTCAGATGAACAGAAATTACTCTCTCACAGGTTTCTACCGAGTAAATTATGACATCGCTTCCTGGCGTCGTATCTTCAACACTCTGAACAGCGACAAGTATCAGAGCATACACGTTCTTAATAGAGCTGCTCTGGTCGATGATCTGTTGAACTTGGCGAGGGCTGATTTGCTCGATTACTCAACTGCTCTCGATGGTTTGCGATATCTTACGCGGGAGAGAGATTATTTGCCGTTCAAGGCTGCGTTCTCCGCGCTCACGTACCTGGATCAACGACTATCTGGAGAGAACGAGTATTACAAACAGTTTAAGGTTCGTCAACGCACCGAATAACTAATCCTTGCTTGCAAAATGCAATTTTTTTGTGATATTCCTAAGATGCACGCTCCGTGCTACCTTTCGCTAATTTTCCATTCGATAGTTAGTAGATGAGGAACGTCGTCGCGTACAGATAAATGAAATGAAATTGAACTGTATTTTTATAGCAATTTGTTCTCATTCTCATCGAAAATGTATATAAGGATATCGGATACGTGGATCGTCCGAGTGACGACAGATTAATAGTATTATTGAGAGGCGAATTGAACAAGTGGGCTTGCAATTATGGCCACGAAACCTGCGTGCAGACTTTCACTGAAATGTTCCAACGATGGACCAAATATAACTCAACGTAAGGACATACATTGTATTTATTTATATTAAATTTAATATACGCAACGTAGGACACTTTTAATAATGTTATTTGCATTGGATTTCCGAATCTTGAACTGAAAATCAGTTGTTTTTATATCACTAATTCGCTCACTGTAATCATCAATCGTTAATTGTTATTAATTATGATAAAATTATATATAATTGTGATAATTAATAAATTATATAAATCAATTGTAATTTAATAATTTTAATTAATATTTTATATAATTTATTATTATTTTATTATTATTATATATAAATATAATATATATATATATATATATATATATATATATATATATATATATATATAATACAAAGTAAAATTAAATTATTTATTAGTAATTTA